AAGCCTCTTTGGAAATATTTTGGGTGGGTAGATTCTCTCTGGAGTAGGTTATTCCAAATTAACCCGGCCCAAATAAAAATAGGCATTAATTGAACTATGGATCAAAATCTCAAGGACAGCCCCAAGTTCCCTTTGAAACTTGGTCATTTCCATCAAGCTCCTGGAATTAACTCTTCAAATAGGGTCTTCCTCTCTGTGCCAGGGAATTGCTACCAAAGAGCTCCATATTAATAGGGAGTGATGTGTCCAGGGTAAATGGCTGATAGTAATATCCCTCAGCTCCAGATCATATTTATTTATTTATTTAATTTATTTATATTGTGGCCTATTCGTATATGGCGACTCAAGGTGGCTTCAGATTATAAAACCACATTTAAAACAATAAAACTAATAAAAAGAGTCAAATAAATTAATATAGGTAAAGGTAAAGGTTCCCCTCGCGCATATATACTAATACTTTCTGGCTCTAGGGGGCGGTGCTCATCTCCTTTACAAAGCCAAAGAGCCAGCGCTCTCTAACGACGTCTCCGTGGTCATGTGGCTGGCATGACTGAATGCCGAAGGCACATGGAACACTGTTACCTTCCCAGTAGAGATGGTATACAGCAGGTTCTGATCATTTCTGGAGAACTGGTAGTGGATACTTTGAGTGGTTCGGAGAACCAGAAAATCCCACTTCTGACTGGCCCGCCCCAATCTGTTATCTGCCTCCTGAGTCCCAGCTGATCGGCTGGATCGTTTTTGGTTGTCCTGCACAGGAGAATGCCATTGGGGAGGGAATGGGGATTTTGCAGTAGCCTTCCCCTGCCATGTCAACGAAGCCACACCCACCAACCCATACCTGCAGAACCAGTAGTAAATTTTTTTTGAATCCCACCACTGCTTCCCACCAAAGTAGTGCCTATTTTTACACTTGCATTTTTTTACATGCTTTCCAACTTCTAGGTTGGCAGAAGCTGGGACAAGTAACGGGCGCTCACTCCATTATGCAGTGCTAAGGATTCGAACCACTGAAGTGCCAACCTTTCTGATTGACAAGCTCAGCGTCTTAGCCACTGAGCCACCGCGTCCCTTCAAATTAATATATTATAATATAATAAAATCACCCCTTGCCCCAGCAACTGCAGATCACACCAACCATTTAATGGGCTCCATCCCACTCTGGGTTCCCCAGGCCTGCTGGCAGAACCATCATGTATAACCTTTGGAGTTACAATGAAAAAATTAGCTCAGAAACTAAAACATTTGGACCTCATGTTTTTCATTCCATATCTGCTTAAAGAGACGTGAGGGAGATATTATTTGATGGGCTACAAGAAGAATCAATCTTCTCTAGAATGGTTCCCTAGGTTGATTTGTTTTGTATTCAGATATGTTGTTCTAATCACACCTGGAACAACAGACAACAAGACAAAAAGGTAATTGAAATATACATCAAATTTATTTTGTAGATGTGTTCTGAGCATGCAAGTTACAAGAAGAATAGAAACAATGCAGAGAAGGTTCCATTTCCAAATTTTTATCACTGCACCAAGTCACCAACATGAGCTAAGCAGAGAAATCATTATGTACATTGAGCCACTGTGGAATTTCTTTTACATATATGCATTATACAACAGGTAAGCTGCAATTCCATGCAGGTTTCTTCAGGAATAAATGCAATTAAATCAAGGATGAGCAGCATCTGGTCCTTCAAAATGTTGTTGGATGTCAAATCACCATACTCCTTGCCTTTGGCCATGTTTGCTCAGGATGTTTGGAAGTGGCATTCAGTAAAATCTGGAAAGAGCCCACATTGCTAATCCCTAGATTAAAAGAGAAACAAGTTTAAGAGCTAACATGACTGGAGGAGGAATTCTGGGATTTGAAGTCCACAAGTCTTAGAGCTGTCAACTTTGAAGATCCCTGTTGGCAAGTTGCTCTTGGCAAGTTCTTCAGATGAAAAAAGAGAGATATTTCTGGGGAGTCACAGAGAATATCAGCCACAATACTTACCAGCTTTCTCTAATTCCAAATCTGAGGAAAAGGTGGTGCTTCTCCATTACATTTGTCAGTGGTGCAACAACTTGAAACACGAACATATGGACCCTCCTTCGATGTTCTGTTGCAAAACCAATTTCCAAAATGGCTATAGATACAGGTATACCTTAGGAAGTAGAGGTTACCATCTACAAGGGGAAAGATAAGAATATGTGAAATGGGTACCTTTTTAAAAAAACAATATGTGGCAAGGAAATAAGAAACTTGCTGTGTACCTGATGTAACTGATCAACTGCACTCTGCACTGGCTGTGCTGCTTGGAGCCAAGGGGCATGGCTAATCCAATATCATTAACAACTGGTTTGGAAGCTTGATATAAGTGGTGGAGTAGAGTGATCTACCAAGTTTTTTCAAAAATAAGACCCTGTCTTATATTTTTTGCCACCAAAAAAGGCCCTGGATCTTATTTTGGGGGGATGTCATCCACTGACTAACCTCACTTGCATGTGTCACCCCCTGGCCTCTTTTCACTGTCAGAGGCCTTCAGGAATTTCTTCTTTTACAACCAGCCAGGCTTTCCTGAAGGCATCTGCAGCCAATAACAGAGCTCTGGATCAATCCAGAGCTTGTTATCATCTACAGTGGCTTTTAGGAAAGCCTTGCCAACCTTGCTGGCTGCAGAAGAAATGGGCCAGCAAGCCAGGTGTCCAGGTGTGCAAGGCCTGGCTACAACTGTCCAAAGGTAAGTAATGGGGCAGCTCCACCCCCATCCCCACCCTAGCTTAATTTTTACTTGTGCACTCTGGAGTGAGAAGGATCTTAATTAGGGCTTATTTTGAGGGTAGGGCTTATATTGAGTGCACATGTAAAAATCTAAGACTTACTTTCAGGGTAGGTTGTATTTTTGGAGAAACAGGGTAGTTAATTGTAGATATAATGATGAGCAATATCCTGATGAAATCCCCCAGCAGGATTCCTATGGAAGCAACTGCCTTCTTCTTGAAGCTGGCATTGTACACAAATGTCTCATGTACCATATGTCCCACATCAGTTTTCCAGGAGATCAGTTATAACACAAAACTCACTGTTGGTATGTTAGTATGACATAAGATGAGCTTCAGCTAATGTAAATTGGGAGTTCTGTCAATATGCATTCAAGCTCCTTCCTATTCCAGTTTGCACCCTTTTCCATTCTATCTTTCTTCTTCCCAGCCAGATGGCCAGACAGACAGACAGATAGACAGACAGTCAGACGACAGAGGAAAGTGTGTGTGTGTGTGTGTGTGTTAAGCATTGCATAAAAGGGTGGATCTGCACAAGGTAGGAAACCAACTTCTCATAGTGAAGGTAATGCCCAGCATCTACATAGAAATTAGGGTTCCTGATTTAAGCAGACTTAAATAGCTAATTGTATCTTGGCAAGTCATCAGCAGAATCCTCACTAAATCTTTTTTAGATTGGACAGCAAGGTTTTTATTGCAGGAAGAGCAAAAAACACTGTGAAACAATTAAAGATGACTACGCAGGCTGCATCT